TACATACATACAGTACATACATATAGTAAAGGTAAAAAAGGATATATGCAGTGTTATCTTCATTTTAGACATCAAAAGGGTTTTGCGGCTCCCAGTGTTTTGTTTTCGATGAGAAACGTGTCCAAGTGGCTCTTTGAGTGTTTTGGATTGCCTACCCCTGCCCTATACTATACTTGTGCATTTGGTTTTTCTTGCCTATTATGCTATTTCTTTAAGGAAACAAGTTGGCAAGGTAGGAAGCAAGCCCAATAGAACTGCTATGTCAATACAGTTGAAGTGCCTCCAATACCCTCAAGGGAAAGCCAAGTTCCTAGTGTCCCAGAAAGGCAGAAATGAAAACCATGCACCAGGAACGTATCAGTCTTGTTTTTTATATAGATTACTATGTGGGAGGACAGCACCCCCACCTCCCCCGAGAAAGAAATATTTTGGGAATATTAAAAGGCAGAAAAGCAGGCCCAGTTTTCTTAATAACCCCAAGCAGAAACTAGGAAGAGGCCAGGTCTGTAGAAATGCAGATTTGATAATCCGATTCAGAAAGGTTGGGGCCAGAAAGCTTGGAACTGATGAGATTAGAAAGATAAAGACCTTTAAAATCTACACACACCCCACCCAAACTCTAAAAACATGACCTTTAGGACATAATAGGATTAATCCACCATCAGAATACCAAAAGGACATGCTCAAAAGCTCAGGTCAAAGTTCATGCCAAAGTTCAAACACCAAAGCCCAAGAAGATATATCCCTGCTACATGTGGTCAGCTTTCCCAGAGCCACATTTCTGTCTGGCTCTGCTCTTTAATAAACCACAACCTTCTTTCTAAAGCAGTTTCCATTTTGTTTATTCCTGACTTGGACTGGACCCTGATGAAGATTTTTCTTTCAACAGTTGCATTGGACAAATCTATACACGCTTCATTTTTTTTTAGTTTTGGAGTATGGGGGTTGGTAATAACAATGCTAATCTAGCTATAAATTGTACCTGACAGTCTTCTGTCAAGTAAGCCTCTTTCTGAACATAGTATTCTGTGTGAATACTGTGTGCCAGGCAAAAAACCCAGATATCTTCTCTTGCCTTCTTCATATGGGAAGAGTGTGACACCCACTTTTTATCCTCACTGCCATTGCTTTAGGATCTGATTTGTCATTCAACTGATTTTTTTCACAAATGACTAAATGTTCATAAAGAAATAAATGTGTTCAGCCCTGGATTGTAAGGAATAAGTAATGTCTTTTATTTACAGAACAGAATGAATTTTTAAATAGCTTAACACTATCAGTTGATTTTAGAGTTTCAATCCATTATTAGTTATGCAGAAATTAAATTTGCTACTCAAATTAAAGCAATAACAAATTGAAACTTCTCTCAGCAATGGATTTTTTAAAATTGTTAACATTCCTCTGACACAGGCTTTCAGTTTACCTGAAACAATGCTACCATCTAGTGACAAAGCAGATAAATTCCAATTTATGGTTTTGTATTTTGTAGCTGATCTTCCTAAAAAGCAAATTTATATGAAATGCAGGATATCATGTTGATCCATTTGAAAAAAATTAAAAGATCAATAGTATATTATTATTAGGCTTGATTATAAGGAGGCAAGTAAGTAAACAATCATTTTAGTTCATGGTCGTTAAAGGGGATGGGAACAAAAGAACAGTGATTATACAAATCTAAAAAAAATCCTACAGATTGTAAAAACCTTAACATTTCCTTGCTCTTGGTAGAAAAATATATATTATTTTGTCACTAGAAACTACCAAAATGGAACATTAACACCCATCAAGCTGAACTCAGGCATTTGAGTAAATAGCTCTACTCTCAAGTATTTCATCACAGATTATTAAAAGAACTGACCAATATACAGAATATACACACTAGGGACAAGGCTGTACTTAGCTTCTGATTCCCACATTAGGACCACAGTAGCCTTGCCCATCTTCAATGTATAGATCTTGAAAATAAGAAATGTGCAGTAATTTGAAATAATTTCCAGATCAAGGCAAATTATGATGGTTGAATTGGTGTAGTGTTGTCCTCAAGCATATACTGCATTTTTTCATTTCCATAAGCATAAAATGCAGGAATTTTGAAATATCTATGGCTGTTGTCCATGATGACTGGGATACTGAGTTTATAATCCATTATATACAGTGCATTTTTTTGGGAAAAAAATGTGCCAGAACTCATATACGTTATACAACCTACCTTGCCTATCCTACAAGATTCCATCCAAAAAAGGTGCCGAAACTCTGTTTTGGGCGTTGTATGACAAAAAAAAGCCTTGATTATATATAGTCTGCAACTCTACTTCCTATAATTTAGGGTAATCTTATGATGTTCCCCTCTAAAAGAATCTGCATATCAAATGGGAGAAGTCTATCCTTTTAAGTATAAGATTAAATTTATCAGAAAGAAGTGAGAGAGAATACAGCGCTTGAAGATTGTTAAGAGCTGCATGGAGGGCAATAGGCTGAAACTGAATCCTGAGAAGATGGAATGTCTCTGAGTTTGGAGTTTTTTAATCTATGGAGAATTATCTCCTTTTATCTGGATGTAGTAGCTCTGTCCGAGGCAGACTGGCTATGTAATCTGGGAGTTGTCCTGGACTCATAACTTCTGCTCAAGGAGATGGTAGTACCTTTGTACAAGCTATCTTTTTCCTGTACCAACATCCCTACTCAGTCACCTACACCCTAGTCACCTCCTATCTTGACTATTGCAATGTGCTTTATATAGGGCTGCCTTTAAGAAGTAGCTGTAAGTTTCAATGGTTCAAAATGCAGTGGTCTGCATGGTTTTGTGCAGGCCTAGTTATGCATGTATCCTGCGGGAGTTGCAAGTCCAATTCCAGGTGCTGGTTGTCACCTTCAAAGCCATACATGGCTTGGAGCTAGGTTATTTGAAGGAGCATCTTTTCCTAGTGACATCAGAGTAGGGAGGCAGGGAATGCTATGGATCCACTTTCCTAAGCAGGTCCATCTAGTGGGACCAAAAAGAAGGGCCTTCTCCATGGTGGCTCCCTCCCTGTGAAATATCATCCCCACAGAAGTAAGATTGGTCCCCACTTTGACAATTTTTCACAAAGCCCCAAAATCTGATATTTCCAACAAGCTTGGGGACCCCAGAATGAGATGGAACCCATCAAATGGTTTGTTTGTTGTTGCCAGAGCAAGGTGGTAGAGGTTATTTTTATATTTTGTTTTTATTGTTGTAAGTCACACAGGTCTACTGAGAGTTGGGTGGCCATATAAATGCCCTCTTAAATGAACAGTGCAAAGAAATAGAAGAAAACAATAGAATAAGAAGAACCAGAGATCTCTTCAAGAAAATTGGAGATATGAAGGAAATGTTTCATGTAAAGATCGGCATGATAAAGGACCAAAATGGCAGGGACCTAACAGAGGCAGAAGAGATTAAGAAGAGGTGGCAAAATTACACAGAAGAACTATACTGTCCCTGATAGCCACGATGGGGTGGTCACTGACCTCGAGTCAGACATCCTAGAATGTGAAGTGAAATGGGCCTTAGGAAAGCTGAGCAACACAAAGCTAGTGGAGCTGACAGTATTCCAGCTGAGCTATTCAAAATCTTAAAAGACGATGCAGTAGAAGTGCTACACTCAATTTGCCAGCAAATTTGGAAAACTCAACAGTGGCCACAGGATTAGAAAAGATCAGTTTACATTCCAATTCCAAAGAAAGGCAACACCAAAGAATGTTCAAACTATCGCACCATTGCACTCATTTCACATGCTAGTAAAGTTATGCTTAAAATTCTACAAGCTAGACTCCAGCAGTATGTGGATCGAGAACTTCCAGAAGTACAGGCAGGATTTCAAAGAGGCAGAGGAACTAAAGATCAAATTGCCAACATACGCTGGATCATGGAGAAAGCTAGGGAATTCCAGAAAAACATCTACTTCTGCTTCATTGACTATGCTAAAGCCTTTGATTGTGTGGATCACAACAAATTGTGGCAAGTTCTTAAAGAGATGGGAATACCAGACCATCTTATCTGTCTCTTGAGAAATCTATATGCGGGTCAAGAAGCAACAGTGAGAACTGGACACGGAACCACTGATTGGGAAAGGAGTCCGGCAAGGCTGTATTCTGTCACCCTGCCTATTTAACTTATATGCAGAACACATCATGAGAAAGTCAGGGCTAGATGAATCAAACGTTGGAATTAAGATTGCTGGGAGAAATATCAACAACCTAAGATATGCAGATGATACCACTCTAATAGCAGAAAATGAAGAGGAACTAAAGAGCCTCTTGATGCGGGTAAAGAAGGAGAGTGCAAAAGTTGGCTTGAAACTCAACATTAAGAAAATCAAGATCATGGCATCTGGTCCTCTCAATTCCTGGCAAAATAGATGGGGAAGAAATGGAGGTAGTGACAGATTTTATCTTCCTGGTTTGCAAGATCACCAAAGATGGGGACTGCATCCAAGAAATTAAAAGACGCTTGCTCCTGGGGAGGCAAATCTAGACAGCATACTAAAAAGCAGAGACATCACCCTGCCAACAAAAGTACTGTATAATCAAGGCCATGGTTTTTCCAGTTGCGATGTATGGCTGTGAAAGTTGGACCGTAAGAAAGGTTGAGCACCAAAGAATTGAGGCCTTTGAACTATGGTGCTGGAGAAGACTCCTGTGAGTCCCCTGGACTGCAAGGCGATCAAACCGGTCAGTCCTAGAGATCAACCTTGACTGCTCTTTAGAAGGCCAGATCCTGAAGTTGAAACATTTAAAATTTAATTAAGTGTGCTTTTCTTGATTACAAGGAACAAGTCACTGATATTTCTTTGAATGCTTACATGCAAATGATAACCTGTCCTAGAATTAAACCCAAAGAAAGCCAAGAGAGAAAGAAAAAAGAACGTCAGTAACATTCAAATGCATTAGGAAAATAATCATGAGGGCTGGGAAAATGTTGCCATTTTCACAGAGCGCGTATTTTGTAGCTAAGGTAGGATATCTTCTTTGAAAGAAATAACATTCTTTATTTCATTTGGATTGGGAGAGGCAAAATCAACAAGGGATTAGCAATGGAACTGTCTCTCTCACATCTCGTCACCGCTTTCTTGATCAATGAAAATACAAAAAAAAAAAAAATGAAAATAAAAATACACCCTAACGTTCCTTTACAAAATACGGGTTTCTAGATCGCAGAGACTTCTGTGTGCGCGGCCGAGGTGGGAAGAAAATTATGCCTTTCAATGAAAAAAGAACTCGGCATCCATTCTGCAACGCACAGAAGTCTGTTTTAAATAAATAATTTAAAATACTGCCGTCTCCCCTTTCCTTTTAAAAACACTAATTCGATTTAATATGACTTGAGCGAGGGGACAAAGGTGGCACCTAAGACTGATTTATTTCTAGGTTCCCCAAGTAGAACCGGCGTTTTCAGGCGTTTAACGCGCCTCCATCACGTGAGAAGATTCTAAGCGGAACCGGAAGTAAGGGCTTCCATGGCGTCCCCGGTTTGTTGCGGTTATTTTTAGAACACTATTTGGGGGCGGATCAGGGATACGGAAGTCTTGGCCATTTCCTTCCATGTCCCGGAAACTGAGGCGTTGTGGTTGTTGCCGGCCCTGGAGAGTAAGGAATAGGCGCGGGGAGCTATGTCGTGAGGCTCGCTGAGCTGCGCTGACGCCGCTCACAAAAGGCCCTGCCGAGCAGGGTGGTCGTGGCTCCGCTTCCTATATGGGCCATATTTTTTCGAGGAAAGGCGCTAATTCGAAGGCGGAGAAAAATCACTTTCGGCCCCCCCTGAGGGGGAAGGTCCCTTCGCCGCCACGGACCCGGACCTGCTTCCTCCGTGGGCCCTGCATGCTGTGTTTCCTGGTCCACAGTGCCAGCCCACCCGCCGCGAAGGAGCAGCCGTCGCCTTCATTCCTCTGCACGGCTGCGAAGCCCCCCGGCAACCGCAACGCTCGCCGCCTCCTGCGCTGGCCTCCCGTGCCCGTCTGGGGAGAGCGGGGTCGCCGGTGTTGCCGCCGCTTGTTCTTCTCTGGCCTGCTCTTTTCGCCGCCGCCGCCGCCGCCGTCGTCAGCGCGCCGGGGCTTCTTCGAGTCTGCGCTGGAGAGCAGCGAAGCTCCCGTGGAGATGGTCTGCAAGCGCAAAGGAATCGGGCTACGCGCCTGTCCGCCCCGGAAACAGCCCCGTTGCGCCACCCTCAGGGGAAATGCGGCGGAGACCGGCGCCCCTTCGCCTCCCTCGACCGACACCGCCGAATGCCAACAGGTGCTCTTGCCCGAACAGCACCTCTGCCCTCTGCCCCGCGCCATAGACTGTGTCAGGGAAGCTTCGCCTAAAGACTCGGCCGCCAAGGATGGGAAGGAGTTAATCCCTAGTAGCTCTCCTTCGCAGCTGCCGGAGCTCGATGGGAGAGAGAAGCACGAGACGGGCGAACCCTACTGTGAGGAACCCCCCGAAAACCCTGAGGACTGTTGCCAAGAGCCGCAGCCACCGGTGCCGGATATTAACCAGCTGCCTCCCTCCATACTTCTCAAGGTGGGTTTGGTGTGGTCATGGACTGTCAAGGGTGGTGGTGTCATAGCTATGATACACAGACTTCCAAGGTATGCCATGGTTATATCTCTCTCTTTTTTTAAGCTATCATTTAAGTTTTCTTCCTCCTGATCTTCAAGAACTGCTCTTTGCGGATTTCTTAGATACCTGTGTTGCATTCTGCTTTGGCTATTTTGCACTTGTTTCTTATTTTGGGTTCAGTCATGTGTTGAAAACAATCGGCAGCAGTGCCTGGAATCCCATTGCAGGGTTGCAAACGTGGCTAGATTGCTTCTGCTGCGCTGTTTTGCAATAGAGATGGGGATGAAGACTTTAGTTGAGTTCTGTGTCATTTATAATCCATTTAAAGCACTGAGCTACAGGTTTATTGGCAGCAATGCTGAGAAGGAGTCTTAAGTGAAGTTGAATCCCTGACTTGAGAGGATGATAAATGTTTTTATGAGATGACTTTTGTCTTTTCATAAGGTAATATGAAGTAATTCAGAATGTTCAGCTTGATGTGGAAAATTCCTCTTCCTGCTCTATTTATAAACAAAAATATATTTTAATAAATACATTTATTCTATATGAATCAGTGATATTTAAAGTGAATTATTTGCTGTAGCTTTGATAATTGCAGCTTTTGTTTCTGTTATCCTGGAATTGCAGGAAGAAGTAAGTCTGAAATTGGAAGCTGCTCAATTGCTTCTTATATTACGGGGTTTTATTTTGCTTTTTTAAAATTTTACCCTAATAACTCAGGACTTTAATAGCAGATTCACAGATATCATTTCCAAAACAAGACTGTTTTGTGGCATTTATAATATATATTTGAAAGTTTTAGATGATTTTATTTTGGCTCTCTGCTATCTTGACAATGGTCTCAGCAGAATAAAGCAGAATAAAGTATCATATAAAATGCATAGGTGGCATTCAGGAGGACTGTATACCAAAATGACACACATCTCTCTACATGGAGATGAGGGAGTATTGTAAAGATCCAATCTAAAGACCTTTATTATGTGTCTACCCACTGGTGAAGTATAAAACTTTTGATGTTTACAAAACTGCCTTATTTGTTTCTTTATCCTACACAATTCCAGTTAGCTTAATCCTTCTTGAAATAGATGAATAAAAAGCCCTTAAGTGACCCTGCAAAGAATTCTGCCTAAACTTGTAATTGCTGTCTATAATGACAGAATTTATGATAATTTATCTACTTAATAAAGCAGAAGTATTACCTTCCAATTTTTTTAAACAGCAACTTGCTATTTACAGTTATTAACCAAATGCACCAGTTATTAAATGTCATATATTCAAGTTAATTCAAGTTAAATGCTTATTACTGTGGGTAACTTGCAGTGAAATAATTAAAACAATATTCCATTCCAAGTAGGCTATCAAAGTAATAGTTGCACCTTCTAAATGTGTCTTCACTGAGAGTTTATTTTTACTTTTTTAAAAATGTGGATAGTGCTGCATTATCCTTTTACCATGGCAGAAAATAAAGCCTTACATTGGCTTTGCTTGAACTATACTACAAGTAGTCCTTGACTTACAACAGTTCATTTAGAACTGACTTTCAATAGCTGCCAAAAAAACCAATACAGTTCTAGGCTGCATTAACAGAGGGATAGAATCAAGATCACGTGAAGTGTTAACACCATTTTATAATATTTTGGTAAGACCATACTTGGAATATTGTGTCCAGTTTCGGTCACCACAATGTAAAAAAGATGTTGAGTCTCTAGAAAGAGTGCTCAAACGATGCATTATGTTTGTAAACATAAACATTTTCCAGTTAATTTTTGTCCTTTTTTCCAGCATCCTGGCTCTTAACATAAATGGTGTGGAATCTGTATGTACAAAAATGGGGGAGAAAGCAAATCAAATACTTGTGAATTTGTCCCAGCATTCTGACAGACAAATCCTACTGTAACTTAATATAATTTCTGACTGCTGTACCATTCCATCTCAGATTTTCATGCACTGCAAAGAAATTTCTCATTCCATTTAATAATGTAATTGCTACAGATACAATTTTTATCTATAATCCTTACACCCCCCCTTTTTTTTACTAAATTTAGTCTAATGGCTTAAAGTCAGAAGCTTATAACTATCATAAAAAATGATGGTCTAATAAACACATTGAATGTGTGCAATTTTTAATTTTTAATGTTTTTTCATAGCCAGCATAGCAACCATTGAGTGGATGTTGAGTATTAATGAGTAGCTGTGAAAGATGTACAGCTAGGATTGAAAAAGATGCTTGATGCTTGCATTGAAGAACTGTTAGGATTCTATCATTGGCATGTCATTAAAAAAAACTCTGACTTTCTCTTTTTACTTTCATAGATATTTTCCAATTTATCTTTGAATGAGCGATGTCTTTCAGCATCATTGGTTTGTAAATACTGGCGTGACCTCTGTTTAGATTTCCAATTTTGGAAACAATTGGATCTCAGTAGTCGTCAGCAGGTATGGAGCAGACAATATTAAAATATGAATATCTTTTTCTTCAGATAAAAAGTGATGTTTTAAAGATGAACATATGGAATGTATGCTATGTCAAATCATTGCTTAGGTAATAAATACTTTTGAGTATCAAATGCAATTTATAGTTATGTTCACATGCAAACTAAGCACAGGTTAATTATGCTATGTGCTATAGTATGTACTTTAAAAAGACTGAGCCACTAGCAGCAAATTTTACAGATGCTCCTCTCCAGGCAACATTCCACCCATTAGGATTGTATATAAGTTCAAAAAGATGTTTATTGTGAATGAAAATGTGAGTGAAGCCATGTGGTCCTGTCACTTCTAAAAGTGAACAAATATGACCCTATTGTTTTCTTTTGCTGACTTTGTAACATTTTCTCAGTAGTTTGGGCACTTGGAAAAAGTTAAAAGGTTTTTGCAGATGCCTAACAGTTGCATTCTTCTAGTCTATTCACATTTTTCTGGAGAAAGTTGGGAGTCTCTTACAAGCCATCTTCTGAAACACAAGAACTGGAGGTGCAGCTTGCTGGAAAACATTGAAGAGACTCTTCATTTTCTAGCAATATCCATCAGTGCCAGAATTTTTTTAGTGGTTTCCAAAGGCACCAATTTTTTACAAGTGTCTATAGTAAGAAAAATACAGAAGCTTCAGAGAGACATGAAGTGTTTTGCTATTGAGACAAAATATGTGGAGTCCTTGGTACTCTCTGAGCTTGATTATTTGCTTGTAGATGTTTCATTATCTGATTAGGTAATATCAGTGATACTTAATTGAGAGCTCAGAGAGCATTGACTGCACAGTCAATATATTCTCTTTCATTGTATGTAGAATATGTTGCCCCTTTCCTGAAAAGATAGCCGTGTCATGCACATAGTGCAAAAATCATTGAAGTAATCTTTGCAGAGGTCTTTACTGTGGTTGAATGTCTATTTTGTTGTGTTTCATTTTTTTTTATAGCAGTACAGAAGTACAGTGGCTCAATTGGGGATAAAGGAATTCCATTATTTCAGCAATACCTGCTTTTATATAAACTTATTGTTTCTAAACTGAGCATCCAGTCCAACAATTTATTACATAATTTATATATTATGGTGTTCAAATTGATCCAGGTGGTGGTTGAAGACATTGGAGAAATAAATGGAGCAATGGAGTCATTGCTGCATAAACAATTCTGGTTTTATATTTGGGTGCAAAAAGGCCTATTTGTTAGGCCAGTATCTCTGTTCAAACCAAAACATGAAGAGCCACGGCATGGTTTTGTATGAGATTGAGATTTTCTATAGACATAGTGTGCTGAACCACAGTATGGCTTAATATAGATAAGCTAGCTGAATGATGATGTAAATAAAGCATTTTATGTAGCCCAGCTACCTAAGATCTTTCTTTGTGATTTTTCTCTAATGAATATTGCAAGGACATTGTAAACAAACTCGTGACATGGACTTTTTTTGTTGTTCCAGACAAAAGCTTAGATCCTGGTTGCCTGAATGTTGACATAGTGCAAGGGATTGTTTCTAGTGTAAAAGTAATAGTGCAAGTACTAGGTTTGGAGGTGCAAGGGATTGTTTCTAGTGTAAAAGTAATAGTGCAAGTACTAGGTTTGGAGGTCTGCATAAGTGCTCAGTCATAGACATCTATGTTGAGAACTAGAATTTTTGAGGTGTTTGTGTGAAAGTTAGACATAGGTTATAGGGAATTGGAAATGTTTCTATGTACAATGTTATATAATAGCAATTTTAATTCTTCATGTCACAAGCTAATACAGGATCTTGCTCTAAAAAGATTAAATGCAGATTATTTAAAAACTGCTTTTTCCTACATAAAAGAGGAATTTACAGTGAAGTACCAAGCAGTCAGTTCTAAAGTCAGAAATTATATATTTGTTGACATTATCATGTGGTTTTGTTTGTATAATTTTTGATAAAGACAATGTAATATATATTGGCTATCATTTGACAGGTCACTGATGAATTACTGGAAAGAATTGCATCACGAAGCCAGAATATAACTGAAATCAACATTTCTGATTGTCGTAATGTGACAGATACTGGTGTATGTATGCTAGCATCTAAGTGTCCCGGACTTCTAAAATATACTGCATATCGGTGTAAACAGCTGTCTGATACATCTCTATCTGCTGTTGCCTCACAATGTCCTCAGCTTCAGAAAGTTCACGTTGGCAACCAAGATCGTCTTACTGATGAAGGACTTAAGCAGGTAAGTTTCTTCACACCAGTTAAGTTCCGCTATATGTGCCTTTAGATAATTCTAAATATATTGTATTTAGAATTCAGCTGTTGATAGTTTTATATGGGACCATCTAAGTTCTGTTAAACTTTGTATATAATTAATTAATTAATTCAAAATATGCAAAATCCAACAGTTATTAGTACTTTGCATACTAAAAAAATTTAATATGGCATTTTGGAAACTCTTGAAATAAGTTGTGATTTCTTGCAGGTTCTCACAGTATTTTGAACATTGGATAACATTGCCTCCTACATCATGAGGGATTACATACTCTTTAATACACACACACACACACACACACACACATAAAACGAATTATATCAAGGATGCCCTGTCTTTTCCAGTCTTAGAATTTTGTATTTGTTCCAGAAGACATTCTAAAAGTAAACTTATTGAACTAGATAAGGCAGAGTGTGAGATACTGCTGTCTGTGGACAATTATTTAAGTTTGCAGATACACTATAAAATTCTATACCTAAATCTTATTTCTTTGATATGAAAGTCTGTCATTCTTCCTGGTTACACTATAAATTGGAATAGGTAGACAGTGCTATTAGTAGTAATCTTCAGAGCTGTGTTCATCTCAGTTTACAAGTTCATGGAAAACTTTTTCAGTTGCTAAATTCAATTACAACCAAGGAGCAAAATCTAGACAAATAGTCTTGAATTATTCAGGTATGTGAGGTAAGTCAGATGTTTTCAAGATAAATAAATTGGGGATTAATTTATATTTTACATAATATTTCAATTTTTATAACTCTATTGTTTTAAAGCAAATATACAAGCAAATTAGGGTTTTTTTGGCAGAATCATTCTTCAAGATTTTATTTACATAAATTATAATTATTGAGAAAGCGAGAAATTATTTTAATTAAAATAAATACCCAGAACCTGGTAGAGAGCCTGCATAATGGAGTGGAAAGATAAAATCCTATAGCCTGGAAATTATACTTTTGTTAATGAAGCCTAAAAATTGCATTTATCCTTTTTGCTGCCATATCACATCTTCATTCCTCCAATTACCAATCAGTTATAATTCCAAGATATTCACAAACATGCCAGATATTTTCCATGATATATATGTGCCTTTGATTTTAGCAATAGCACTAACAATAGCACTTAGACTTATATACCGTCAAGTAGCGCTTTACAGCCTTCTCTGGGTCGTTTCAGCCTATTGCCCCCAACAATCTGGGTCCTTATTTTACCGACCTCGGAAGGATGGAAAGCTGAGTCAACCTTAAGCCTTGTCAGAATTGAACTCTAGGCTGTGGGCAGAATTAGCCTTCAATATTGCATTCTAATCACTGTGCCACCATTTTCATTCTTAAGAGCATATTTTTGTATTTGTATTTATTAAATTCAAATCAATATAAAAGCTACAAATGATGCAAATAGCCATGGAAAGATACATGCTTGGCATCACAATACAAGATAGAAAGACCTGCACATGGATTAGAGAACAAACAAAAGTATACAATATCATCAAGAGAGTAAAAAGATTGAAATGGAAATGGGCTGGTCACATAGCAAGAAGAAATGATGGCAGGTGGACTAAGGCAGTCATAGAATGGATTCCACTTGATAAAAAGCATCCACAAAAAAGACATAAAACAAGATGGATCAACGACATCAGCAAGTATGACGGGCCCAATTGGCAAAAGAAAGCTCAGGTCCGTATTGGTTGGAAACATGCAGAAGAGGCCTTCATCCTGCAGTGGATAGACATTGGCTAGAATAGATCATGATGCTCTATTAAATAGCAGTTTTATTCCATTTCTTTATCTTATCATGGTTATATTGTGGGGGGGAAGGAGGAAGCTGTGTTGGATATGTTTGCTACCTTGAGTTATTGGTAAAAATAATAAAGACATGATACAAATAAATAATCAATGAGATAAGATTAGTTGATAATACTTGGTTTTATCCATTACATACTGATTTTTTATAAATCAGTTTGCAGTATAATATTTCAAGGTATTTATTTAACTCACATTGATTGACCTGTAATTCTGCCCAAGCTTGCTTTTGAAGATAGTGACATTTGTCCAGTTCTAGTCATATGCTACTTCAACACTTCACTGGTGTCCATGGTTTCTGAAAAATAACAAGAGATTTGAACAGACCATCAGTGTTTTCCTTCCCATTATGCCAGAGGCCTTGAATGTGGAATTTAATGTTATTCACATTAAATGAATATTCTCTGACCATGTTTCTTTTAAAAATCAGTCTTCAAACTGCTTTTTCATCCTGCTCTTTATAACTTCCCTGTCTTTTTGGAGAAGGCAGTAATAAGATACAAGTTGAATAACTTTAACTTTGTTTTGTGATCTGCTATTATTTTACCAGTGTAAAATGGGAAATATTTTGAGTGAACTGAATAAAATGACTCTTGGTTTGAAAACAAAATTTACATTTCAAATTTCCCTTTTCCTAAAAGCACCCAAAATGCATCTTATAATAGAAGTACATTTTAAAAAGTTGTCTGTGTATATGCACAGCTTTTTCTGAATAGAAAATGCATTTGATCTCTGCAGGGTTTGTTAAATTTAGATTTGCAATAAGCTACATGTTATACTTCTTATATACCTTCCATATTCTCAACTTTCATTTCACTACTTCATTGGCTTAAAGCTATTATTTAATTCTCACTTACGATACATATCTCTACCTTGTGGAAGGTAACTGCATTCAATTCTGGATGCATCTATGAAGAGGCTTTTGAAATTTAACCTATTAAATCCTAAAAACATTGAAATTGTACTGGTTAAAAAGCTTACTGCTATGGACAATAATATATAGTTAGTTTTGAATGGAGTTCTATTTTATCTGAAGGAAAGATGCACAGTATTAATTTATTTCTCTCTGGGGTAGTAATATTTTTGCCAGCTCCAGTTGTAAAAGAGTATTATTATTCACTTAGTATTTACCTTCTTACTATTACTTACTATTTACCTTCTACAGAGGTTAATTCAAAAAACTATAGCACTGTAAATTCTTAATGGAAGCTGAAACATCTGTATGCAACATTAGTATTATATTTATAGTTTTATATACTGATTATCAATAAGTTGGTAGAACTGATGGCTTTATCAGATGCCACGGCTTTAAATGTTGTATGAAGAACTTATTGTTAGGAATTAAGATTTGCCTCAGATGACATTCTTGGAAGTAACTTCGAAAACAATTTCTAAAGATCATATATAATAAGCCTGTTTCTTTTATGATTGTAGAAAATCAGAGTCACTGAATTTCTGAAGCACTGCAATGATTACTGTAATAGAAGTTAATGTTTTGAGGACAATATGCTGCTAAAACATTGTTAAAATCTCATTATCTAACCATTTAATGTGCATATGCATATAGGCAAAAACTACATGTTGCTAAATGTAATGTTTTCAGTGAAATTCTTTTTCTTGCTGGATATTTTCCTATCCTTGTAAATTGTTTTGGTAGTTCTATGGTAATAAGTAGAATACAAATGATTTAAAGTATGATAATGCAGATTTTAACTTCATTTATAGTTGGGCTCAGAATGCAGAGAATTGAAAGACATTCACTTTGGGCAGTGTTACAAGATCTCAGATGAAGGAATGACCATTATAGCTAAAGGGTGCCTGAAGTTACGGAGAATATACATGCAGGAAAACAAATTAGTAAGTATTTTCTGCTATACCTTTAAATTGAGATTGTCCCTCTAAACTATACAAGGATTTATAAGTTACATTAGCCTGATTCTTAATAAATTCTTTGGTTGGAAGATTTTGAAAATATCAGTTGATTGCACCAGCAGTAATTTCTTGCAGGAAACTATCCTGGCAGTAAAGGAGTTTGTGAAATATCTCCCTTTTGAAAAATGGTCTAATAGTTTGCTGTATTCTTTTATTTTTTCACATTTCCATATTACAATGCAATAAAGTAAACTTGTAAACACATTCAGTTATTTAGAACTTTAGGATAGCAACATGGTCATATTTAAAATTTAAAATAGAATCATGAATGTTGAATATACATGGATGACAACGTATGTTATCATCAAAAGAAATGGACTGAAAAACTTTCATACCCTACTGAACTCTATCTTCCCAGATATACAATTCACTATAAAGAAATGACTAGACAGTTATTGTTTTTAGATGTGCTTTTCAACAGGCAGGAAAATGGAAATCTAGAAAACACGATTTGTCACAAGGCACCCATACTCCATGCATTCTTAGTTTCAACAGTAACCATCTGCTATCACACAAAAAGAGTTGTGTCAGAACACTATATGGCAGTGTGAGAACCTACAGCAAGCTAAACAACTAAGGACAGCCATCTATGAACAATTCAGGCAGAATGGGTACGCACAAGCATTTATTACAAGATGCCTGTGCAATACGCAAGGGAAAGAAAGGAAGAAAGAAGGTATAAGACTAACTGTACGGCACACATATTTCAGAAGCAATAGAACACAGCTTTTATGGTCTAATGTAATCTACTGCATTCTAATGTAATCTATCAGATCCCATGCATGGATTGCCCCTGTAACTATGTAGGAGGAAGCTAACCACTAGATTGCAGAAACACAAGCGAGTGATCAGATGAGGAGACCCAAACTCATTGGTAGCTTCACATTGCAATGAACAAAGACATTCAGTTTCACTGCTATTAAGATTGTTGGCCAAGCAGGTATAAAGATAGCCAGGGAAACTATTGAAGCCTGGAAAACGGGCCCCTTGTCAATCAAAAGGAGTGCTGATTTATGACCAGCTTATCAGGTACTTAGGAGCTGGAGCCTTTGGCAGTGCAAGGAAGCAACATGATGAAGTCAGGAAAGCTAAGGCTCAAAATCAACTAAGATTTGTGACAGATGTCAAAAATAACAAAAAAAAAAAACCTTATTTCACCATGAAAAAACAAGAAAATAAGTCAAGGAAACGATTCGTCCATTAATGGGAGAAAATGGCAAGAAGGTGATAAGCAATAGGGAGAAAGCAGAACTGATTAATTCCTTTTTTGCATCTGTCCTTACACAAAAGGGGAAAAAACAGTCCAATCTATCAAAAACAATATTGTAAAAGACAGATTAGGAATACAAGTCAAAATATGCAAGAAAATGTTAAGACAGTGGTTCTCAACCTTTCTAATGCCGCGACCCCATAAACAGTTCCCCATGTTGTGGTGACCCCCAACCACTTATACATCACTGGGTGCCAGGGGCGTGGCCAAAGAAAAGGGAAAAATGGCGGACAGCCTTGTTTGGCGACCCCCGTGAAATGGTCATTCGACCCCAAATGGGGTCCCGACCCACAGGTTGAGAACCACTGTGTTAAGAGAACATTTATCCACTGTAGACAAATTCAAATCATCAGGACCAGATGGATTACACCCCAAAGTTCTGAAAGAACTGGTAGATGTGGTCTCGGAACCCCTGAACTATATCTTTCACAGATCCTGGAGCACTGTGAACTATCAGAGGACTGGAAAAGGACTGATGTAGTTCCCATCATCAAAAAAGGGGGAAAAAAACAGGAAACTACAGACCTATCAGCCTGACATCAATACCTGGAAAGATGCTGGAAAAGATAACCAAGTAATGAATCTGCAACACTTAGGGGCAAACAAAGTCATAAGCAGAAGCTAACATGGGTTTGTCAAAAAACAGATCATGCCAGACAAATCTTTTTGCATTTCTTTAACAAAGTGACAAAATTATTGGACCAGAGAAATGATGTGGATATAATTTACTTGGACTTCAGTAAGGCATTTGATAAAGTAGACCACCACTTACTACTTGATAAGATAGAAAAATGTGGGTTAGATAGTATCAGCACCAGATTTATTCATAACTGGCTGACCAACTTCACTTAACATGTACTCCATCAATACCCCAATCAGTTAAAAAGCTACAGATAACTAGGCACTACATAAATACTATGCATAGAATAGCCCAAAGCACAAGTCTGAAAGCTCAGAAGACTAAACCTCTGGTTTTAGTGGCTGACTCAGATTAGATCCTGCAGAAAAGTTAAAAACCAAGATGATGGGCAACCTGCGAGTGGTTATCTTCTCTATCCCATCAGCCACCCCCAATGTAGCTGGCCACTATTGGAGTCCCAGGCCAGGTGGCAGAGCCATGTTTTCAGGCTGTTCCTGTGGGAATGGATCTCGCCAACGAGGTCTGCCAATAAGAGACCACAGCAGAAAAGGCTCTTTTCCTAGACCCTGCCAATTAAAATTCTTTGGCAGATGGGATCCAAAATAGGCCTTTTTGGCTGGAATGAAAGGAGTGAGTTGGGCTAATCCCATCAGGGTTAGATGGCTCCTCAGATACATTTTTTGTTTTTATTTATTCTCATTTATACTTGTTAGTCACCCAGAGTCACCTTTGATAAATAGATGAAGGGATGAATGCATGCATAAATAAATGAATGAATGAGTGAAGGATGGATAGATGGATGGATGGATAGATAGACAGAAAGACAGACAGACAGACAGAGACATTTGTTGCCATTTAATTGCCTTCCACTTAACCAGTTTTATTTCTCTGTGAGAATTGTTTTCTGTAAAAAGTTTAATTTAATTGAAAAGCTAAACTTGGAAATTATCCAATATGAACCAGATGTGTATGTATAATATAAGTATCCATATTTCAGAATAGAAGATTTAATCAGATACTCCTTTATTTGCTTGGCATAGTATAAAAAGTATAGCTATTGTATATGAGTTTTGTTTTTTGTAGTTCTCTTGCACTGAAATTATGCTTATGTTAATAGATAATAAATGAATCATGATATAATTTGAGTGGGCAATCCATGGGACCCTTGAAGTTTTCAGCTCTAATTTTTCTGACCTTGTGGATTTCTGTGATAACGTTGTTAAAGCTGGCATTTTAAAATATAGTAAGTTTTCACCTCTATAAGACACTAAGTAAGTGTCTTTGAAGTGTTTATAACATGGGTGTCAAACTCGATCTGTCACATGACATTGTGCTTTGTGGAGGCAGGGTGGGCATGGCCTATGGTGATGCATCTGGCCTGCGGGCCACCAGTTTGATATCTCTGGTCGCTAGGGTTTCCACTTTAACTAAAGTGCCACCAGATGCAAAAAGCCACATTTTTTGAAATTTTTAGGCCCATGTCTCTGTGTTTCTTAGGAACTGATACCTACATGTATCTCTATCTCCTCACATAACTAATCAAAATTGAAATAAATCAATATCAAAGAAGTTATACTTTATTGAAAAATAAACCTAGAAATCTTCATCTCAACTCATTTCCAACAAAGAGAAGACCAAGTGCTTGAGCTGTGAGGTTATTCTCATGACAATATATCTTGGATTATTATATCTAAAGTAAACCATTGCGTACATTTAGTTATGTTATCTTTTCTACTTCTGATTCAAGGAAAATCACTGCCTTTCTGGTTCAGTGTTTCCTACCAAGTTGACTTAAGGAATTGTAATGTTGTCCTAGGTTTGATTATTTTACATATTACAGATGACTCAGTGTTTTTTTAGCCATCTTGTGAGATTGGAATGCTTTCTGGAATTGATCATTCTTCATATTGGAAGTAGTTGCTGTTGCATGCTGCTTTCATATGGTATTTACTTGTTCATTTTAATGCTATGCTTATAGCATAGAAAAGTGTGGGCAATTAAAATACAATGCTTGGTGAACACATTTCATTAAGACACTTAGGCTTTCAGCTGAATATTGTCAATATCATGATCTGAGGGCAATGCAGCTTATCTAGTTGCACGGAAAGTTGCATTGGCAATGATATTACCCAGTTATTTTGGCTTTAAAAAAATCTGTTTTTTCAAGATCTTCCAGCTGAGTCACTGTGCAATTTAGCTTTGCAGGAGTGCTGAGTAGTCTCAGTTAATAAAAAAATATATAGATTCTCTAAATGTAGATAGTTTCTGCGTAATTGAATTTTAATTCTCTTGCCCCCAAGAGTAGCAAAAACAAAAATAATATTCATATGAAAATATAAAAAATTTGTTTAAATAATGCACGTGCTGCCCAACTCACAAATAATACACTGTAATGGGAAAAACGATTGTTTGTGTGATATTAATTATTGCATGATATTGATCTTTTTAGGAATAGACATTCACATTATCTATTGAGTACTGATTTCTTCATTGAAAATTTTTTATTTTTTAAAACATACAATCATTTATAAAAATACAATAAAATTTTAAAGTAGAAAAAAAAAAAACCCTTACCCTCCCTCCCACCCCCAACCCCCCTCCCTTCACTTCCCAGAGCAGAATACAGGGTTAATAAAAAAAATTATAATAATTAAGAAAAAAGAAAAAAAGAAAAAAAAAAGAAGAAAAAAAAATATCATAATTAACCTTTAACTCCTAGTACTGATTTCTTTATATTGATAGACCTGAAAGGTTGAAGTTGTCTACCTGCTCAATATCTTCATTGTCAATTCTAAGGCTAATTGCTGTAGCAATACCATTTGTTTCATTCTTCTGTTTGTATTCCACCTTTATATTTACTTTTACCATCTTTATATATAATTTTAATAATAAATGCTCTTTGGCACTTATTAGAGCTTGCATATCATTAGCATTTTAGCTATCAAGTAGTGTAGTTGATCAGCATACCACAAGTTAATAATGTTTATTCCTCCAATTTCAAAGCTATGTTTATTT